GATTGAAGGATTTCCTACTCTCTAAGGGATTCAAGATGGGAAAGGTTGACACCACTTTCTTCACCAAGAAACTTGGAAATGACTTGTTTGTAATGCAAATCTATGTTGATGATATCATATTTGGGTCAACAAATCAAGATTTTTGTGAGGAATTTGGCAAGATGATGGCAAGTGAATTTGAGATGTCCATGATTGGAGAGCTTAGTTACTTCCTTGGTCTTCAAATCAAGCAAATGAAGAATGGCACATTTGAGTGTCAAGGCAAGTATATCAAGGACATGCTCAAAAAGTTTGGAATGGATGATGCTAAAGCTATTAGTACACCAATGGGGACAAATGAAAGCTTGGATAGTGATGCTAGTGGCAACATGGTGGATCAAAAGATGTATCGGTCTATCATTGGAAGCCTACTCTATGTGATCGCATCAAGGCCGGATGTGATGTTTAGTGTATATATGTGTGCTATATTTCAAGCCTCACCAAAAGAAAGTCATTTGAAGGCAACAAAGAGAATATTGAGGTACTTAAAGCATACACAAAATATTGGATTGTGGTATCCCAAAGGAGCAAGATTTGAGTTGATTGGATATTCGGATTCCGATTATGCGGGATGCAAAGTTGAGAGAAAGAGCACATCGGGCACATATCAACTATTAGGAAGATCACTTGTGTCTTGGTCATCAAAGAAGCAAAATAGTGTAGCACTTTCAACCGCCGAAGCGGAGTATATTTTGGCCGGTAGTTGTTGTGCTCAATTACTTTGGATGAAGGCTACCTTGAGTGACTTTGGGATCAAATTCAAGCAAGTGCCATTGCTATGTGACAATGAAAGTGTCGTTAAGCTCATCAACAACCCGGTTCAACACTCAAGAACTAAGCATATTGATGTCCGCCATTATTTCATAAGAGATCACCAACAAAAAGGGAACATTTGTATTGAGAGTGTGGGCACCAAAGATCAACTTGCTGATATCTTCACTAAGCCACTTGATGAGAAGAGGTTTTGCAAGCTAAGGAATGAATTGAACATACTTGACTTCTCTAATATGTGTTGATGCACCCCCCCACTTATATGACATGCCTCTCCTTTGAGTAATCCAAGGTAAAAGTTGATTAACATGGCATACATACTTGCTAAGGACATGTTTAGTACATCTAGACATATTTCACATTTGAATAGGCTCATTCATGAAAATCAAATGAATTTGATGCTTGTATGGTACCACTATTGCTTATATGCTTGAAATGATCTAGTGGTAACATATGACATGTTTGTGGGCTTGTAAACCTAGTGTTTGATCTAAAAATAAGCTATAAGTGTTTAACTCAAGATGGTACAAGATAACCCTTATTTGGAGGTGTGAAAAAGCTTGTCCTTGGATCAAACCGAGTTAAATATCTTTTACAAAGTAATCTAGATTGAACCAAATTGGAAAAATGATCCTCATTTTACATGGTTTCACCCCAACCTATCTATAATTTGAGCTCACCTTTTGTGCTAACTGTTGACAAAGGGGGGAGAGAAATTCACAAAGATAATAAGATAGGAGGAGCAAACAAATGAAATGACATTGTAAGAGGATCAATCGAGCAAACAAATGAAATGACATTGTAAGGGGATCAAATAAAAATGCACACAAGTAGGGGGAGCAAGCTCATAAACTTGTATGTTGCATTTTGATATGCATTTCATATATTTGCTTGCATAGCACAAGTCTTAAATTTCAATATCCATGCTTGTGTGGTGTATGCTAGTTATAGATTTGAATGATGAAATGAAAAACTAGCATGCATAGGCTAAATAACTAGACTCATGCTCATATTATAAAAACTAGACCTTTGCTTCTAATGTTGATCTCACGGGGTATTCTAGTTTTTGTATATGTCTAGTTACTAATGGTGCTAAGGATGGTATATTAGTGCACTCCGATTGGTATCACGCTTCAAAGGTCCATCTCTTATACCTTAGCATCATTTGGTAGAAATTGTCTCCTATATTTCCTATCTAAGCATATGTACAAGCTACAATCCAAATTCTTAGCACATATGTAGGGGGAGCAATTGTTACCATTTGGAGTTCATGAAACTTGTCCATATTCTTACACACATGGTAAATATACTTGGGCAAGCAACATGGATTTAATTAAATTTCAATTCATATTTTTGTGTAAGGGTTGTCATCAATTACCAAAAAGAGAAGATTAAAAGCACTAGTTTGGTTTTGGTTAATTGATGAAACCCTAAGTGCTAACCTAGTTTATCAAAGTGATTGTGAGATAGGTAGCACTACTCCAAGTGACGAAGCAATGGCGAAGATCATAACGATGGTGATGGCATGGTGATGATCAAATGCTTAAACTTGAAAAAGAAGAAAGAGAAAAACAAAAGGCTCAAGGCAAAGGTATAAATTGTAGGAGCTATTTTGTTTTAGTGATCGAGACACTTAGCGAGTGTGATCACATTTAGGATCGATAGCCGTACTATTAAGAGGGGTGAAACTCGTATCGAAATGTGATTATCAAAGTGTCACTAGATGTTTTAACTCATTGTATATGCATTTAGGATCTAGTGGAGTACTAAAATCCTTAAAATGTTTGTGAAAATATGCTAACATTTGTGCACAAGGTGATACACTTAGTGGTTGGCACATTTGAGAAAAGGGTGAAGAAGATAGAGGTGAAAAGGATGGTCTCGTTGGTCACAAGGTGACTGGACGCTGGTCTCAGAGGGACTAGCGCGTCCGGTCAGTAGTAACAGCGAAGACGCTGACGTCGGTCAAACGACCGGACGCTGGGTCGCTCAGCCACCGGACGCTGGCAAGCTATGTCCGGTCATGTTGACGTGGTAGCATAGAGGAAGACACCGTGTGACCGGACGCTGGCTGTGTCCGATCAAGCATGACCGGACGCGTCCGGTCGGGAAAAACCGTCTCTGGAAGCTTACTGGAAACGACTGGACGCTGGGGGTTCAGCGTCCGATCACTGTTCGCTGCTGCGTCCAGTCGTCTTCTGACCATTGAGATATGGTGAACAGCGTTTGAAGCAGGGGACACGTGGCGAAGATCTGAGGACCGGACGCTGGGGTCGAGCGTCCGGTCAATATGACCGAAGCGTCCAGTCGTCCCATGTTCAGTGCAGTGAGGAGCCCAATGGCTCTATTTCGTGGGGGCTTCTATTTAAGCCCCATGGCCGGCTCAAGCTCACTCTCTTGGCTATTTGCATTGATATAGCAACCTTGTGAGCTTAGCCAAAGCCCTTCCACTCATCTCCATCATTGATTCATCATCTTTGTGAGATTAGGAGAGAATCCAAGTGCATTGCTTGAGTGATTGCATCTAGAGGCACTTGGTATTCGTGTTTTGCTACGGATTTCGCTTGTTGCTCTTGGTGGTTGCCACCACCTAGACGGCTTGGTGCAGCGGTGGAGGATTAGCATGAGTTGATGATTGTTCGTGGCCATCACCGATGATTGAGGGGATTTGTACCTTCCCGGCGAGCGCCGAAAGGTAACTCTAGTGGATTGCTCGTGTCATTGAGTTACTTCACTTGTGAGTAGGTTCTTGTGGTGTCCAATCGTGTGAACGAGGTTTGTGCAACACCTCTTAGCCACCGAACCACCAAGTGTTGGTCGACACAACGGAGACGTAGCGTGTTGGCAAACACGTGAACCTCGGGAGAAAATCGGTTGTCTCTTGCCTTTTGGTATTCTCTCGGTGATTGATTTCATATTCATCTTGTGATTGGTTCATCCCTCTACACGGCGGTATAATCACCCTACTCACTCTTTTATATTCTTACAAACTAGTTGTGACAAGCTCTTTAGTGTAATTAGAATTGAGAGCTTGATTTATTTTTAAGTTCATCTAGTGAAGCTCTTTAGTGTAGCAAGATTAAGAGCTCTTAGTGAGTAGTATCATAGCAAGTTGTGTGTCTAGTAATTATTGCAACTAAAATTGTTGGATGGGTGACTTGCAACCCTCGTAGAGCTAGAGCGAGTTTATATTTCTCTATTTGTCTTACTAATCAAATTGTTCTATTTGATTTGTAGAATTTTAAATAGGCTATTCACCCCCCTAACCATATTAGGACCTTTCACCAATCCTGGAGCTGCATGGAGATGAGACGGCCATCGGTGAAGGTGCACCGCCCTCGCTCCCCAAGCGAAGCAGGCGGATAGCGGCACAGAGCATAGCTCATATCCCGATAGTCAAGAAAAGTGAGTATCTTGTCATGAATGAAGAGTGGGAAGCCATCTCTGTCGATGTCGGCCAAGATCACGTACGATGAAATCTTCAACAGTGACTCCGCTCATATGCAGGCGTCGTGAGTTGTTCCTAGCGGGTGGCGAGGTAGGCCCGCGCAAGCAGCAGCGCTACTCGGCTGCACGAGCATATGCCTCCTTGCTAGCGCCGCAAGTTTGGGTTGATCTCTATCCAATACAATAGCTTAGCGTACAATACACTAGAGAGGGTCTGAGCGTCCATGTAAAACTTTGTTGACTTGCTGGGACGCCGTTAAGGCATGTTGTATCCAATAATTTCTCTATCTTAATAAAAAGACGCGCAAACTTTTTGCATCACGGGAAAAAAACATTTATGTGCAAGCTCCTCCTATTTTTCTAATATAATATTTTATTTCTCCTCTCCTTCACATTCACGTGATACACGAGCGGAGCGAAAGAGCGAGCACGAGCGCTCGCGGGGCGGAACTAGCGGAGTTCCCGTGCGGAGTGGGCCGGCCCATGTGCGGCAGCAGCGGAGGCCTATGCACGGTAGCAGCAAAAGAAATTTGAAGGTCTCCGCATACACGGAGCCAGGCCGAATACAGCTAAACAACTATGGTCCCTCCACTTCGCCCGCCACATACCAGAGTGGACCACCACCTCTTCTTCCTTCTCGGCGTCCTCGCACCTCCGCGTTTCCCCAAAATACCCCTCCCTTAAACCCTCCGCCGTCCCGCCGCCGGCCCGCCGCTGCGGCCGTCTTCTCTTCCGCCGCAGCCATGCGCCGCTTCCTCCAAGCCCTCCGCCCGCTCCAAACCCTATCCCTCAACCCTGCTCCCGGTATCCCCACCCCTCTCCGCCTCCTCTCCACCTCCTCGGCGGCCGCGTCCTCGGACTCTGACTCCGCCGCTGCCCCCGCCGAGCCCCCGGCCCCCGCTGCCGATGCCGACTTCGACAGCGCCGAGTACGCCCTCCCGACCCCGGGCCCCGCCCCCTCCCGAAAAATCAACAACCCCGCCGCCGCGCTGAGGAAGCTCCGGTTCGACCCCTCCCTCCGCGCGCGCGCCGACGAGGCGCTCTTCGGTAAGGGGATGGGCGCGTCGGCCGTTGAGGAGGAGGACGAGGACCGCTCGCGGGACGTGGCGCTCGCGCTGCTCGATGCGGCGATGGAGCCGCCCGACGAGGATGAAGAGGATTTCGGGGAGGTCAGGGAAGAAGACCAGATGTCGCTTTCCGTTGGCATTGTCGGCGCGCCCAACGCCGGCAAGTCGTCGCTCACAAATACCATGGTACGAACAGCTTCTAAAAGAATGTTTTTTGTTTCTTCAAGTACTCTAGTAGCTGTTAGCAATCATTTCTACTAGGCATCGATCATACAGTTATTAATTCTGCAATGCTTCTGTTGGTGTGGGTATGAGCTGATGACAGTATTAGTTCCCGACTTCCATTTGAAAATGGCTATTACTCAGACTCTGACGGTACCAGTTGTTCTGCTGTTCAGTTCGTGCACAGTTTGACACATTATCCTTTGTGCCTCCACCCCTTGAGAATATATGTGTATGACTTATACCAGTCTCTCCATTTTAACTTGGATTATTTAACCAATCGTCGTAATAAAGTAATACTGGATCGTACAATTGATACTTGTAATGTATCTTCTGATAGTATCTTTATAGTTCAGCAAAGTCATTAGCTGATCGAAATGAATACCTTATGATGCCTTTATCTTTGGATCTATCAGGTTGGGACAAAAGTGGCTGCAGTCTCCCGCAAGACAAATACTACAACTCACGAAATTTTGGGGGTGCTAACAAAAGGGAACACACAGATAGTATGTCATTTTATTAAGTTTATTTATTATTTATTATTGTGATGGCAGCCTAGTAGGAAATGAAACCACATCTTCAACTTTTGACTTAACCATATATAATTTCCTTGAAATTTCTTTAACATAGCTAGGGCGTTTTGTGTTTGCAGTTAACTGGATTTTGGACATGTGTTGCCTCAAATATTATATGAAACTAGTGTTTTATTTCACAAGATATTAATTGCGTAACAAATCCTCTCATATCAGATAGTGGTGCATCTTCATGGCTTGATCTGTCTCTATTTAGTTCTATCTAAATTGACAAAATTCTAGGCTGAATCATGTGTTCTTAATTTATCCATCGTAGAACCATTAATATAACACACAAAAACAAGAACCTGCTGCTAATATGTATGCCTACCAGTACTAGCTGTACAGATGTCTTGTATTCAGCTAATACAATTCTCTTCAGTGCTTTTTTGACACTCCAGGGCTCATGTTAGGGCACCATGGATTTCCTTATAGGGATGTCACAGTTCGTGTGGAGAGTGCCTGGAGCTCAATTAACCTCTATGATTTACTAATAGTCATGTTCGATGTCAATAGACATCTTACTCTGTAAGTCTTCATCACATTTTGTTTAATTTATATTTCATGTTAGAACTCATGATAAGTGCACTTCTAAACTATGTGTTTATTTATGCAGGCCTGATTCACGTGTTATAAAATTAATCAAACGTTTGGGTACGGAGGTGAACCCAAACCAGAGGCGTATATTGTGCATGAATAAGGTTGACCTGGTGGCAGACAAGAAGGACCTCCTTAAAGTTGCAAAAGAATTTGAAGATCTTCCTGGATATGAAAGGTTTCATTAGTCTTCTGTAGGCTTACCTTGTCATTCTACAATTCCACTTGCCTTATTGAAATTCTGGTAATGCTAGGTACTTCATGGTATCTGGGCTAAAAGGCAAGGGAGTGAAAGACCTTGTACAGTACTTGATGGACCAGGTATTTTCTTCTATACCTATTGTTCGTCTGCCAGTCTACTGCCTTACCTTTCTAAATCTTGAAGAGTAGAACTTCCTCTTCATGAGTTTTATGCTAAGTTCATGTGCTTAGATAAGACCTGTCTGTTGTTGTTATATGGTGAAGTTTGATTGGTTACGATATCCAAAACTGAATTTTGACTGTTAATTCTTTATGATGTATTTTTAGAACTGCAATACCATTGTCATATGTTCAAGTACTAATACAATATAAACACGAACTACAATTCTGCCATGCTGTGAGATTCTTCTTTGTATAGATTGTGTAAGGATCTGAACTGGACAGTCTGTAGTATCATTTTGCTGATGTTTTGATGTGCATTACACAACTATGGTCTAATTGATTATTCTATGTGATGCCAATGAGCTATGTTCTCTCTGTTTGGTGATTAAAAAATAGACTTGTATCAACGTTCTCTAGTTGATTTACTTAGTGGTCACCCTTTTTATATAGCCTCTTATATACATTTAGATTACTCCTTGGTTTGAAGTTTTAGAAGTATATTGCATGCATTCATCCTACAGTATTCTTGATTGAGGAAGCAATTTACTTTTATTACCCCTTGAAAATTAGAATTGAATCTTTTACAATTCTGTGTTTGTTTACTAATTGTTTAGCGCTATCAATACTTATGTAACTTCAATACTCTAGTTATGCCTTCGCTTTGTAGGCAGTAAGAAGACCTTGGGATGAAGAACCAACTGTAATGACTGAAGAGGTAATGAAAACCATATCATTGGAGGTTGTGCGGGAGAAGATGCTGCATCACATCCACCAAGTAATTCCTTTGCATTTTGAATATGCAACTTGGTTCTCTTTAATTCAAATAGAATATGTTTATCAATGAATGACCTTCTACAGGAATTCTACAATGAAACTTAAATTCAAATGGAATTTATTTTCTCATGTCTGACCATTTACAGGAAATCCCCTATGTAATTGAGCATCGTCTGATGGGTTGGAAGGAACTAAAAGATGGTTCTCTTAGGGTGGAGCAGCACTTCATTGCACCAAAGCAAAGCCAACGTCAGATTCTTGTTGGTAAAAATGGCTCTAAGATAGGGTGAGGCATTCTCTTATGGAAAAAGTTGCTACTATGTTGGAATGGCACATTGTGTATTTTGCCAATTAACATCTACATTATTAGAACTATTCCTGATGTCTTGACATATCTGATACGGGACAAATCTGTCAGGAGAATCGGTATTGAAGCCAATGAAGAACTGAGGTCCATATTCAAGAGAGATGTCCATCTAATTCTCCAAGTTAGAGTCGCGAAAAAGAGAAATGCTTGAACAGATTGTGAGTATGTTTCACATTTCATTCATCACTCTGTTACAGTACTCTATCTTTGCCGGCATATTACCATCTTCGCTAGAAATGCTTGAAAATTCCTAAACAACCACTCCAAAGTTTGCATCATTATTTCTGTTCAATCTGCTGATCTGATCCCCCTCTGAGCCACAGTTGATTTCTCTGAAGGAACAATATATTGTTTTCTGCAGTTTAGTGAGAACTGCAGTGCACTGTTGGCACAATGTATTCAGGAGACACTAAGTGGTGCTTGGGTGCATCAGTTCCGGTGACTGCTTCGGTAGAACTTTGGATCTAGGATCTACTGGAGGCACTGCGCCATACCCAAGCGTGTGGAGCCTTGATTTCTGAAGAAAAGATATATCGGCAACAATTCGCATGCCAGTGGTGACAAGGAAATGACTTGCCGAATGGTGAACTGCTGCACCACATGGCGAATCTTGGGTTTGTTATATACAGATACGTCTGTGCTAGACCACTGACCGTTTTACCTACTTTCTGATAGAAAAATAGTTCCTCCCTTTCACAGGTCTCAACCTGTATTTTCTATAGGTTCTTAAAACAGTGTTGTAATAATATGATTATCGGGGCATGCCTGGCGTTGAAGTTTGCTGCTGGTTTTCCGCAGTGTTCTGAACAGTAGAAATTTCAGGATGAAATCCGGTGGTGCTCTACCTTGTATGCTGCACGATCGTTGTGTAAGGAAAATGTATCACTTGCCGGCCTTTTCATTGGGTTTGATTGATGATTTATTCTTGTCACATTGAAACAGTGAAGATCTTCCATCGCAATTCTACTACTGAAAGCTGCATGCAATAGCCGTGAGTGAGCCCGTGACCAATTGTAGCATCGTAGCCTCCAATGGCATCTGCAGGCGGCTACGGCTCCATCGCAGATGGGCAGAGTCAACTGCAGGACCGAAGAGCTGTTGAAACAGACTCAACTGCCGAAAGCAGCTTTGTTCTTGTAATCGTTTGAAATGGAAAGCTACATGTTTTTCTCTTATTTTTCAAAATTACTTCATGCAAAGTTCTGCCTTTCTCGGGTATATCTGTAGATCTAGACGAGCCAAGCTGAAAAACTTGAGCATCGACGAGTTTTTCATAGTTACTTTATGAAAAAAGCTCGAGAACTTGATGACATAGGCAAGGAAGCTGATAAATATGGATCTCGGCGAATTCTGATGGCGTCTGATAGGGTGCTAGGGCGTGCACGTGGTGTAATGCTGGTAGGTCTCTTTCGGCGGTACCGAACAATTTTTTTTTTGGTTGTGTAACCTATGAACACATGAAGAAATAAAGAGACATGACCATTCAAGGTCATCACTATCACTATCAATCCAAGAATATACAACAGTCCCCAAATACCAAATTTGGCAAACTTTTTTAACTGAATCCAAGAATATCCAACAGTCCCCAAATACCATATTTGGCAAACTTTTTGACTGAGAATTATCCAAGAGTACCCAAATACCATTTCACAAACTTTTTGACTGAGAGTTATCCAACAGTCCACAAATACCATATTTGCCAACTTTTTGAGAATTATCAAACACTCCTCAAATACCTTATTTCACAAACTTTGTGACTACGAATTATCCAAGAGTCCACAAATACCATATTTCACAAACTTTTTGACTGAGAATTATCCAAAAGTCCACAAATACCATATTTTGGCAAACTTTTTGACCGAGTTTACTTGGTAAAAACACCTCAACAAGTCAAGACCCAAACGGGGATAGAAAAAAATTGGAGCACTATCAAACAAATGGTATAGGGCTAAGCGACCCATTGTTTCCGCACAACTTCCATCAACACAGCATTTTCCCTTATATTCATTCATAAGGATATAAGAGTTCCTGTCAAAGTTAATGAACATAAATAGATTCAAAACTTCTGGTTTTTACACTCACAAGTCACTCCACCGTTTTTTTGGGGTAACACATGGTTGGACACTACTTTCTTGAAGTGCAGGGTACATACAAATCACAGAACATGACTATTGCACCTCTAAATGTCACATCCTGTATCTCTCGAACAAAACTCCTTCCTGCCTAAGGTTTTCTGCCCACTCTAACAGCAAAAAAACCTCATCAAGAAAATTCTATGCGGAAAAAAACTAACAGAGAATCGCTGCCACAGAACCATTACCACCGGTATCAACATGCGACTCCATTCGTTGATCCTGTCCCAAAATCATTCTTTCGGACCAAGCTAGGTTCAACTTCATTGCAAAGTCCGCCACTTCTCTGTATGTCAAGAACAATCGCTTATTATATCAAAACAGAGCACTGTTTCATGCATCTCAACAATAAATGGTTTAAACACAGCCTGGATCAAGCGACGGCCACAAGCAGCAACCGCAAGTTCAAGCAGAAGTTAGCTCAAATGACGAGTGGAAGCATTTAACAGAATTCATCAATTTTCAATCCAGAAATCAGCTTATACTTATTAAAATGCCAGCATATAAATAATAACAATTTTGGTGTACCACGTACAAAAACAGCCTTTTTCAATTGAGAAACAGGCTAGTAGCACAACAAAGAGCCTACATGCATCCACCCATAAGATATCTCATGCCCTCACCTATCAATCTCTTCCCTCATTGCAGGATCAAGTCCATCATCAAGGTCAGCATTGTCGAAGGGGTACTCGATATCATCTTGCAAATTTGGAGTTTGGCAAGGATGCCTAGAAATGTTACCACTATCTGCTTTGCACGGAACCACACAGGAAGCCCCCTCCTGAACTCCCAGAAAAAATATATAAGAAATACAGCATTCTCTATAAAGTTACCTCCAGAAAGGAAAAAATAATTTAAGTTGAACTCTCACCTTATTTACAGGTTCGGAGTTCGCTTTTGCGGGATTCTTAGCTTGATCTTTCCTTCTTTTATTCTTTTTCTTATTCTTAGAAGCTTTCCCACCTCTGGAATCTGTGAAATGGTTACATGAAGCCCAATAGTTTTTTTAATAAAAAAATTGCAACGAACTCATGCAACGATTGTTGTGTCACAGGCTTTTGCAGCCTTTTTTGGGAGAGGGGGTTGGGGTTTGTGCGTGCGTGTGTGTGTTGGTGTGGGGGGTGGGGGGGGGTTAATTTCATAAGGACACGCCAGAAGGGGCAGGTAGCAACTTAACAAAAATAATCAATCACATGCTCCTACCATGCCTAGTTGATTTTTCCTTCAATCTAAGCAACCAGTCTACCAATAAAAAAAGGTATTAACTTTGATGGGAAAAATACCACCGTGATCACTGATTCTACAAAAGCTCGTGACACATGAATAGTCCACTGTAATAGTGTTGAGTGATGAGTGACTGCTAAAACTACTTATCAAGTTCATCCATAGTAGCTAAATAGGTTTGATCCAGGGCAACAATTTTTTGTTGTATTATGACTGTTCAATATTAATCAACTGGTCTAATGGGGGAACAACATACTAACTTATAAAAAGTGTGCAATTTTGCCATTTGGAACTCAAACTTTAGTTTCTTTCTGAAAAAACACCAAAAAAATTGATATTTTCTAGACACTACATTAATATTTATATTTTGATGTAGGACATTATTTTTGCGAAGTGGGCATGACACCAAATGGTGTAAGGCAAACACCACACACTTCGATTGTTCTGTGTCAAGATTTTTAAATATTCGATAAAATCACTAACCTCCATCTCCATTTATAAAACAAAGTAACTCATCCACAGATCTCTCGTCTTTTTGCTCTTCTTGTGTTTGAACATCCTGAAATAAAGTGAACCTCAGAAACAAACATAAAACTAGAACAAAGAGCCTGATGAAGTACAGATATATCATTGAACACAACACATAGTAAATCAATGAAAAATACCTTTAGTTTCTGGCGTTCCTGCAGTTCTTTCCGCTTCTTTGCATACAATCGGTTCAATAAACGAATTGTAGGATCATCATTTATATTTTTTAGTGGCTCTAGTTTCTCTTCCTGACAAATAAGTATTAAATGTGTCAACATCTAAAAGGAAATCGTTCACTTTATCAAGCTGAGATCGTGTTGATGAAATTTGTTTTTTTAGCTCCAGATGGGGGAATTGTACTCAAGGAGATGAAGAGAACTTTTTCCTATACACGACTATAAGTGGTACCCTTACCTCTGTTAAGTCATCTGGTAAATGGAAAATATCTCTAACTTCATCGGGTGTCTTTCCTCCAATGATCCGAGCAAGCGCTCCACAAGTAAGATCAACTAGTGGCCTTAACTGCAGACCAAGGGCTGCAGAAGCCAACTTGCAGAGTTTTTCTGTGTCTATCCGGACAAACTTTTCATCAAATGACTTCCGCTCCTGCAAATGTAGGAATCCATGCTAAGATCTGCTGGAGCAAATGTAGATTCAACAAACAAAATTTTCAAGATGAATATAAAGTGCAGCAAACCTTGTTTGAGCGCCCAGGGACCTGATGAAACCGACAATAATCAAGAATCAAACTCAAACTTGCCGGATTAACTCTTTCCGGTAGAACTATAGCATGATTCTTAGATGACCCTGTCCCATTTTTCATTATTTCCCGACATATCATAGGGCAGAACATCGCAACTTCTTCCTCCACTTGTTGTATGGAGCCATCAAAGCACTGAAGCCAGATATAAGTTTTCAATGCCTGTCAGAGTTCACCAATAAACTTGATTTAGGCCCAAATGATGCAATCAAGATAAGAACACAACATTTCCTCTCTAATTAACAGGAACTGCAACGGGAGATGTACCTGTGGTTTTATTACTGCTAACTCGCTCTCTGACATAATTGCCTAGCGCAAGGAAAATAATGATGATAACAGAATCAGATACGGGGGAATTTACAAAGAATTCCTTTCAGGCATACAACCACCACTGGGCTCTCCAATGTCCAACAGCAGCTGAGCAAACTTTATGACAAATATGTGCACTCCTTGTTTCGCCTTCAGATTGGAGGATGACTTTATTTGCCTTCAAAGTACAATGAGGTG